ATAATCATGTTAAAGGTTTTAACTGAGCCAGTCACACAAGGGAGTTTTTAACAGGTCAAAGAGAAAGCTAATCAGTTGAAATACAAATATAAGCTAGAAAGGTCAAGGTAGCGCAAGTCAACATTCATCTCCTCAATTTCAAGAATTTTCAAAAGCAAGTGAGTTAGCTCACGTTTAAAAGGTGCTTTCTTTAGCTTACGAATTTCAGGGGGGATGCCATTCCATATTTTCGCACCAACTCTAGAAAAGGAAAACAACTGATGATTTGTTCTCGCCTGTTTTATATAAAAGCTTCCAGCTACTGAGAAACGAGTAGAGTAGGAATGAACCTGTTAAGAGTGAGTAAAAAGTTCAGAAATATTGGGAGGAGCACAGTGATTTTTGATGTCATGTAACAGAGAGGCAACCAATTTGAAGTAAAGCATTTTTTCGGTAGAATTCCCAAACGACTAAAAAGAGGAGCACTGTGAGATGTATAATCGGAAAAATACATTAGACAAAGAGCCCGCTTTTGTAAAATAACGTTTTTCTTTAGATGAGTATTCGCGGCTTTGCCCCAAGCAACGAGATCATAGGAAATATATGGTTCAATGAGCGAGCGGTAAATGTTAAAAAAAAAACTTTATAAGAGTAGTGAGCAGTACCAAGTGTCTTAGCCTTGTAATAATACCGATACCTTTGCTTATTTTCGTGGAAATGTAGTTAATATGGTGCTTCCAGGAGAGATTACCATCAATTAGAACACCTAGGGATACAACATATGTCTTATGTTCAAGAGATACCAATTGCTTTGAGTTATTATCAAGTATTTTAAGGTTTACTTCTCAGTATAGTTTGTGTTGGTAAGGTTGAAAAATACCGAAATTAGATTTAGATACATTAAGAGATAATTTATTTGAATTCAGCCATTCACACAACTTTAATAACTCTTCATTGACGACAACTTCAAGTTTGTTTAGATCTTTTTTTGCATATAGTAAATTGGTATCATCAGCAAATAGGTAAAAGTCAAACTTTGTAGAGGAATGAGGAATGTCATTGACATAAATTAAGAAAAGAAGCGGACCAAGTACAGAACCTTGAAGGACTCCACACACTATTCTCTCTTTGCTAGAGACAATAGAACCGATTTGGGTTGATTGCATCCTGACAGGCAAGTATGACAAGAACCAGTCATTAATCAATCCTCTAATTCCATAATGGTGCAATTTATGCAACAAAATTATACCATTTATAACTCATCTTTGAGCAAGATTATTTTGCAACTTATTTTGGACTGTTTTAATTAATTACATACTGCATGCTATCTTATTTCTTCACCTCTTATATAACATAATTATAGTCTGGTACAGAAGTGATGCTAGTGATGCATTTTAATCATTCTTTGTCACAGCAAAATTGTCAATGTGAGCCCCATGGACTTTGATGGTGATGGCTGCCTTGATGTTTTAATTGTAGCTGAATCTCAGCACAATTCAGAGAAGAATGTTACAGTTTATGTGCATTGGGGAAATTCAAAAACATTAGGTACACATAAATTGCTTCCTTCTCATGTACATGACTTGTACAGAGTACAGTAATTCAGACATCTTGGTTTGTAATCTTTGGTGAGAATATTATGTTTACCTGTAGTTGACAAATTGCCTAGTGTGCACTAATTCATAGAGCATGGTTGGTGACTTTTAACTTGAAGGGTGCTGTCAACCTACCGTCAACTGGGGTATCTTTCGAAAAAAAAATGTCTGATTGTCTTGTCTGATTCTCCATGTGAGAGTAGTCCAAGGAGGGATGGTTGTTGGTAGCATTCACTGGCATTTTGACAAAATATAAAGTTATTGAATAGAGAACAATCCTTCAGAACTATACATTACTAGAACAATGTTCAAAATGCCACAATTTTGTTTTGTTTCAGATGCCAATGGTCTTGAATTAGTAATGAAAGATCAACCATTAGTCATGGAGTAAGTAAGCAAGTAATTTGATTGATGTGTCATTCATAATCCTTAGAAAATAATCACCTTAAGTTTGTAACCTCAGAGGGAGGAGAGAATTACCATAATTATTATTCCACAGTGCTATCCAAAAAATATTTTTTAAGTCTCAGTGCCTCTATCTTAAAAAAAAAGTGTTCAAATGAAAATGTTTTCAAATTTGGATTATTGTTAAAGTAAAGCAAAAGTGCACAACTTGTTCAGCCTTTTCCAATCACTGGGGTCAAAGCTGGGTGAAGATACTGGGATTAGGAAGGCTGTGCATCATGTGCAGATGGCACACAAGTAAAGGATATGGTGTACAGCTGTACCTTAAAACCAGTCATAGGGCAAAAGATGCACCCAAGCCATGATAAGTGAAAATATATTTTGCAACTAAAATTTTGATGAGAGTGGCCACTTAGCAACCACCAAGTGAAAAAAACATAAAACATTCATGGATCTTTGGTTGAATTATGAAATGAACAGATGCCTGTATCTCTTCCCAAGCCTGTACGTTTATTTTGCCTTTCCATTTCTGTACATGGCAAAAATAGAAAAGAAATACTCCAGTTGTACGTAATTCAATACTGATAACAGGAAGAATTTGGTCACTATCTCATTTTGATTGCATTATCCAGACCAACTCGTGTGAGAGCAAATTTCTGCATCCTCTTAACCTTAAAAATCACTTTAAGGTGGCTGAACACAGTTTTTGATGACTGTGCTTCTTTCACCATTTTCTCTAAAACAATTGATCTCTTGTTCGCCAAAACTGGCAGCAAGCAAGTTAACAACACAAACTTTGTTTTTTCAATAGCTAAACTGAGGTATGTGCCATTGCCATGGTGACATGAATAAATATAGTAAATCTAGTCATTAGATTTTCTTTATAATTTGCATGCAGTGAGCTTGTAATGATACTCACAAGTTAACACCATTTTGCTAACAATTTAACAAAGAGATCTTTAATTATCCCTTTTTGAAGGTTAACTCCGTTATCTAGAATTTCCTTTGTATAAAATTAATTTTCATCGATACTCCAGTTACTTACTTCCTAAAGTATTTTTGGGCCAAATTTCGTGAAATTCTAATGAGGGGTTCTCAAGTAATAGGCATATTTTTGAGAGAGCAATTTTCCATTCAATCACAATTTCTTTTACTTACTACACATGCATTGCATTTAACTGGGTTCTTTCGGTAACGAAGAAAAAGCTGGGAATTGCTGGGTTCTTTGCACTGTTAACTTTTCTAACATATCTTTGTAATAAAAGATTAAAGCCTTCAATACACTGCACCAACTATAGAGAAAAATATAGCACAGATAGTGTGGGTATGTGTTAAGTATTAAATAAAATGACCACTCTATTGATGGCATGTTTGTTTTTTGCAATCCTTGTGTGCGTGCTGAATTGCATCAGCAAAGTGCATGTGAAAACTGTGTTCGGCCACCTTAAAGTTGCAAGATTATATGTTACTAATGGCGAAAATTGAGGTTAGGAGAAAACAGAGGGATGTTCAGAATCTCACTTGATCATGTGCATATGTGCATACTGCTCTTCAGGGTACAGCAGGTTTTAAATTACATAATTTCATTTTATTTTAGCGCCAATGGTGATCTCTTGCCAGACCTTTTTGGTACAGAAATTGCAATAAATTCTTCCTTGCGTTCATACTGGATATCTCAAGGGTAATATTATGTCCATTGTATGGTAATGTTTTTTTTACTACCTATACCTAAGCTTGTTGTTGGCTGCAAAGCTGATTAAGCCTTAATTGATTTTCCAGGACTATAATTACAGTTGAACATGTTAGTAATGTCCACAGGTTTTTATGCTACTACATATACTTTAGGTACTTTGAATTAGTCTTAGGGGTACAAAGAAATGCGTTTTTTTTAAGTGTAGGAGAACTAAACAGTAAAAAAATAGTTTAAGCAACAGCCTAATTGTAGATGGCAAGTTAGTTCAATTAGTTACCTAAGTTTCATGTTTATTGAACAGTTTGACTAAAAGAAAATAGACATACTCCTAATTGAATTTGAGGGGAGGGGTTTTGGTTGTAAACTGTGAGTAATAACACAGAACTGAAATGATGAATCAGATATATTATTTAACTCTGCATAAAATATGAAGTCTATTTTTATCTTAAGTCAATGATACAATTGGAGTTGATTGGATGCTTTGATATTGTACCTAGATCAAAAAGAAGGTTTGAAGTTCAACCACAGACCAATTCTAGTCAATCCAGTGTGCTTGCACCAATCATGATACCACACTCCAATGCATTCTTGGATCTCAATGGAGATTTTACAGCTGGTACTACATTGTTATTATTATAGACCACTTTCATAAAGGGCTGCCAGATTAATATTCCTTTGTTTAAATGTAATTAAAATTAGCCTTTCTGGCCTCGTTCTCCAGTACAAAATTCAAAAGAATACATTATCTCAAGCAAGGCCAGAAAGGCTAATTTAAATTTAAACAAAAGAATATTAATCCGGCAGCCATTTATGAAAGTGGTCAATTGCATGATCTACTTTTGTTGTCAAATACATATATTATTATTATTTTATATATATCTATGTATGTGTGTGTTGAGGTAGAAAAATATATATATACTCATCGTGGACATATAATAAAACAGCTGGATGATAAATAACCTATTATTATATTTTCAGTGTGGCATTGCTGAGTATTTTTACTTGTTGTTTGTCTATTGACAAGCCCTATGGATTATGTCACAGCTTATAAAAATGCTCAGCAAAACTACTCACCAAATTGTCTAATAATGGTAGATAATATCATTGTATAATTTTATAAAAAATACTGTATATGAGGGAAACTCTAAATTTTATTAATTGAAATAAGCCTGTATCTATAATTGGATCCTCCTTTGTCATCCACTAAGTTGATTTCAGTCTTGTATCAGTAATTGATCCTTAGTTGGGTTTCATAAGGAGTTATAGGCTTCCCCTGCCTTGTCGCCTTGAAAGTAAAATTTCCCAGGGTACCATGTCTCCGATCACATAAATGACATCTTGGATTGCCATGTTGCCAGCATGGTCGTCCTGATGGTGTAGTGGTCATCACACCCAACTAGTATATGGGGGAACATGGGTTCAAATCCCACTCAGGGCAAATTTTCTTTCAAACATTTTATTCAATTATATACATACATACATACGTACGTACGTACGTACGTACGTATGTACATCCATGCATGCATGCATGCAGGCATGCATACATAAAGACAGGCAGACAGACAGATCTATGTATAATTATGTATAAACAATAGCTCTATAGAATCTTTATTTCACACGTAGATCACCACACTAGTGAATTAATTAGCTAGTTATCTAATTTGTATATAATGAGGTATGTTCTTCATTGAATAAAGTTCTGTCTGATGAATGCTTAGGCACGAAACTCAGAGTCATAGAGAATCGATGGGTCCTCTTTAATTCTTTAACCTATGTATACTTAGCTCTGCTACCACAGCATTGAGCACTTTATGCCAAGGTAGACTCTACCTCCACATTTATTTATTTATATAAATATATATATATATATATATATATAATTATAGCAGCAAATGCACTACTTAAGTTACGCACATATGGATTTTAATACAGCCTGTTTTGTAGACCAACAAAAGTTGATCCACTCATCAGTCATACTCCATACACACTGACGGTTAACTCTAACTCAGCAATGTGATCACATGACATTGTTTAAAAACTCAAATTGTGAAAACCGTGCGCGCATGATAGATGATAGATAGCCAATGAGGCGCGTCGCGCCTCATTGGCTATGTATCATCTCATATCCAACGCGCGCTCGTGGAATAATTGTTAAATATATTCTTTCTAATACTTTTCCCGCGCATGCCAGTCTGTTACGTTCTATTTTTAAAACAAACTTTTCAAATTTCGTTCATAACGCATGCACCTCGCTACGCTCGGTCCGAACGTCACTACTTAGAGTCCTCCCTCTCAGTCTATATGTATATGGTATCTTTAACAAATGGTAAACACCACAGCGTACACTATTGAGTTATGGATGCACGCGGGAGGTTGCTAAGCACGAAAGAAGCGTAAGAGTCGCTCGAGGCGATAGCCGAGAGCGACTCTAGCTTCTTGAGTGCTTAGCAAACCTCCCAAGTGCATCCATAACTCAATAGTGTACGCTGTGGTGTTTACCATTTGTTTTATAACATAACATTGATACATTGTAGCTAAAGAGTTCCCTTTTATTTAACAAATCTTACGTGACCAGAAAAAAACAAGCGCGCGTAGAAAAATAGTCTTTGCATTTGCTCACGTCAGCAGCGTACACCCATGGGCAAATGGGGGACACTAAATTGACCAATCAGAGCACGTGCTTTACTTTGGTTATGTTATAAATATATATTGTGGGAGGAAAAAGACAAATAAACTACAAGTTCATCCCTACAAGCCTGTTTTTTGGTTGCCCAATCACCAGGGCATTTGGCAATCAGGGAATCCCCTGATGAGTGGACAAACAATGAGTAAATATACTCAGTAATACTACACTCCAAATAATATAATGGGTTATTTATCATCCAGCTGATTTATTTTATGTGCGTTTCTGATAAGCAGGAAAAGGTAAGCAGATAGAGAAGGGTATCACGCATAACCAAATATTTGAGCAGATTTTTTTTAATGCAAAATAACCAACTGTTGCATGATATCTATACTCTACTTAGTGCAGTTAGATAATAAAACATTGTAAGATTTCACTCCCGGGAGTGGACAGGCACTTATGTTGGATTTTAAATTCAATCTTTTTTTTTATTTTTCCATGCCACAGGGATGTTCTAATTATGTCTATAGTAGACAAAAAGATATGTTTTTTTAAAGTGTAGTATATACTTTGTCCTTGCAGACCTGTTTGTTATCAATGAACTAAATCAGGGCGAAGTTTGGATCAACAGAGTAAGTAAATTCACTCAGTACCTCCCCTCCCCCCTCCCCTCCCCCACACACATAGTGGCCCTAAAACTACACTGTCCCAAAAATGCACTTAGATTTGGAACAGTCACTGAAAACTGTGCAAAATCTTACCATGATATGATGCTATTCTGGAATAAAGCTGGTCACAAGTTACATTTTGAAAAAGTTATTTCAAGTTTCTTCTTTGATGGTTTATACTTTCATTTAATTTCCTTTAGGAGGGAGTCCTTGTTCAGCCATCTGATGCCTCAGAAGAAGTAATCAAACCACCCAAAATACCCAAAGACAAACACATTAAAGTGTTTGGCCAGTCAACATTTGTTGACATTGGTTAGTATAAGGAATCATTTCATATTTCACATTTTCAAACTTTTTAAAATTAATGTGCCGCCCAGTTAGCCCAATGGATAGTGCACTGGACTGTTGTGCAGGAGGTCAAGGGTTCGAGCCCCAGCCAGACGAACACTCAAGGTCTTGAAATAATTGAGAAGAATTAGCTACCTTTCTATAACATCAAGAAATGGTTAGATATTCTAGTCTTCTCGGATTGGGACGAATAAATGGAGGTCCCGTCTCCTGCAGGGTTGGGGCTAGGAGACGTTAATTTCCCATGCACGAGATTACTGTGTGATGGATGTCCTCCCCTGGGGTGGGATGGGTGGGTTTACTGGGCCCACAGTAATTGGCGCAAGCTGTTGCGGTGTCCCTGCCGTGTGGCGAAGCTAATAAACAAAACTAACTAAACTAAACTTTTCATTTCAAATTTGGGATGACTGAATTTTGGTTTAAGAAAAAGATACATGGCAATGATGATAATTTTAAATTTAAGTTAATTCAGGTTAATTCAGGTTATGGTGAATTGTACAGCACTTTGTAAAACCAAAACATTTAAAGACATACTTGCTGGTGTTGTAGAAAGTAAATTTCCACTTCATAAATTTTTTGTTCTACAATGTCTATTTACCACCAGTCCACAAAGCATTGATTTTCTTTGACTGCTGATCTGTACATACATTTACTGTTTTAAAAATGTAACATTACCTTTTTTTTTTGGAGATGGAGATGGAAATATTGATCAGTTGTTGCCTGTTTGTACAACTGATTATTGTGAAGAAAGTCATCTTTATGTGTATTCTAGTAACAAGGTATGTAATAATGGTATTCATAAACGCCAAACTCACCATAGATCTGGGTTGAAGATACCTTTATTTGCTGCTTAATATGTACTTGTAACACATGTAAAACAGTGACTGTCATCATAACAAAAAAATTAAACCCTAAATATAATTACACAATGAGGTTAAAAAGTTGTAAATTTAATTTATTTAGTGGGAGAGGATGTTATCAAATGATGGAGGACCTGTTGCATGGCAGTTTATTGCACCATCAAACCAGACATCATCTTTATTCCCATTAATGACCATTCGTACAGGTATGTAATCTTTTTGTACAGCCAATTGAGCCTAAATAAATGAAGCTGTTGTAGTGCACATAGTAGAAGTCAAAATGGCAAAGTAATTTTTGTTTTCCTGGGTCCAAGGGTTTCTTCTGTGGCGTGGGGGGGGGGGAGAGTTCTGATTGAAGGATAGGTGCTAATGACAAGGACTACCTTTGAACTCTCAGGTGGAAGTCATCATCAGCTTCATCAGAGAGATCAACACTTACTTCTGATTCCAAAACATTTCCAGGGGAAAAATTCAATATGCAGTAAAGATTGCACCATTTTTCAAACAAGAATTTTTCATTCATGATAGGCACAGCTCATTTAACAATATTCTGCCATTCATGGCATCTAAGTATACATTAAGAGAGGAGAATATGATTAGAAGATTGTGTTTCTCCTGTAAACAAGTTAGCGCCATTAATTATGTTAAATTGTTGAAAGTTGTATTTTTCTGTTAAACAGGAGACTATAATATGGACGGTTTTCATGATGCATTGGTAGTGTTGAACGTGAAGGAGACAGGGTGAGATAGAAAGCTAACTCGTGTTTGTACTTAAACACACTTAGGGTCCTCAAATCCTCTCCTCGTGTTTTCATCCTCTTTGTCTAAGTGAGTTCACCAAGCCATTCACATTTTGAATTACATAGTTCATATAGGTGTGTGTGGGTTGTGTATGTTCCTTCAATATAAAGAGGGTGCCCAGACTTTCCATCATGCTAGAACCCTGCAATGCAAACTTTAGTAACAAGCAAAGTTAACATGATTACTTCAATGTATTTACGTACATCAACACTGTATACTGTCACTGCTTCTGTAATGAAACCTAAGGCCACTCTAACATAGAACATTCAGTTCCTCTGGGGATTATTGGAGGCAGCATTTTTTCCATTTATGTTGTTTCTCTGACATTTGTACCTTAGATGACCTCCCTTTGTAGCAATAAAGTGCTTCTACTTATTAAAGATTGGTCATGTTTTGTTAAAAGGGTCTCCACCCACGTGACCATTATTGTTCATCCTTATATTCCTATCGTGCACTTTAATAATGGTGCATTGTGTTAACGTCATCTTGCATCCCACCGAACACTTACTAGGAAAACCAAATTCAAGAGAATTGCAGCCCTTTTGGAAAATGTACCATGTGAAAGTACACATACCTCTTGCTATAAGAGACGCACATTTGATGTTCATTGCAAGGTAATCAGTCTATAGTATCTGCCTTCCTTTTATTGATTTTTTTTCCCTTTTCTATTTTCATTGAACGCTCGTTTTAAGCGTGGTTTCCGTATACAGACGACAGGACGCCACGATGTGGGTGATGATTTTTTTTTTCCATCTTAATTCATTTCCTTAAATAATGTTTATGTTTTTTGTGCTTTTTGGTTGCAGGAGTTACCAACTTTAGAGGGAGCTGTAGTAGCCACGTTTTTTGATTTGTATGAAAATGTAAGAGAATGAACATTTTTTTCTAATTACCAACACGATAGTGAGGCTAAATTACCAACACAAAAGCGAGGGTAAATATAGATGTTCTATTCTAATTTTTTCTTTATGTTAACTCAAGTTTTTGTGGTTCTAAGGTCTTCGTCGTTATGTCTTCGTCGAGATGTACAAAGCAGCCATTGCTACACACATTTTCCTACTAGCCTTTACTTTTCACCTCAATTTACAACGTTTCTATTTAGGATGCCTTTGTGTTTAGGCAGTCTTGTTTTTACTGTGGCAAAATGTTTTGGAAGATTATACACTTTAGGGGAGACAGCAAATTTACTTCTCAATTTTGTTTGTTTGTTTTCGTGTTTGTTGGTGTGGTCGTTTGTCTCCTTTTTTTAAGAAAATACACAACATTTTTTAATTTAAAAGACGTGTTTACAAAATGTACATTTTCTCAAAATCTTAACATATCTGCTACGATCTCCTTATTTTGCAGTTTAACAGGCTCCATTTTTTTCAATTTTTATTTCAATATGTATGAAAGTGCCATTTTTAATACTCGGAAATCAGCTGATCGTTCTTTCCCCTTTTCCATTTTTTTCCAATAAGAAAAGAGTTGATCTATGAAAGAGAAGTTACGAATTCAGAGGAATTTCACAACGTGGTCCTTTGGCACTTATATAATTGTTGGCGACATCTAGAACTAAAAATAAAATCAGATTATCCAACTGGTTGAGGGACGTGAGTGGCTAATGAATTGAAATGTTAGGTAGCTCCCGTGCGAGCATGCGCTGGGCTCTCATATCTTTATCAAACTTTGTATTTTTTCCAGGGAAAGATTGGAGTCATGGGCGTGACTGAGTCTCCGAAAAAAAAAAACGACCCACAATCCTTAGAGTACCATGTCCATGCGCTGCGTAATGATCTCTATAGTGATGCCTGTTTCTTGAAAGTTATTGGTAAGTCTGTACAATTAAAGTGAGAAACTGGTTGTATTGATATATCAGAAGTTCCTTATTAATTTGTTTGTAACATTCCGGGAACACATTGGGGAGAACACCTAAGATAGCTGACTGAGCAGCACTAGAAGTGAAAAAGTAAAAGCAAAGACATAAAAAGAAACGTGGACACACACGGATGCTTCAACATAAAACAAATACAATTTTATCATATTTGGCCTGTTTGGCCTGTCACGTGTTGTGCCATGGAATCAACCAATCCACATATTTTCTTGTGGAAAGATGGCACTGTTCTGTTCGTTGCGTGGTCTTTCGCAACGCCGGCACGAAGTGAACGGTTCATGGGGTCGCGTGTTTTAAAAATATAATGACGGAATCTTGTATATTGCCTTTTAGAGAAGATATGTCATCGCAAGTGACGTAATATTTTCTCTTGACAGGGAAGTTTCTTTTACTTCAGAAAAGAAAAAGAAAGCCTAGTTTTCTTGGCATCAGCCCTACTGATAAATGTTTCCGTGGCAGTGGTAAATAAATGAACTTCTTTTCTAACCAAGCGTTTTTTAATCAGTTGTAGGAGGCCGAACGTTGACGTCTTGTGAAAATGAAAACCTGGTAAGTTTCCAAGCTTCTCTTTTGTATTTTACTGACCTGCTTGGATCGATCCCTTTTGATTTTAACTTTGGTGTAATTAAACTTACCACTTATTTTCCCCTTAATTTTGTGATTGTGTTGATAGTTGAAGTCGATCCCTCTTTGAAAATTTCTGCATTACTATGTTATGTTCAAGTTCAGTTCAACAGAGCTGTATCGAGCGAAAAAAAAAACCGTTTCTACTTAAGAGTTTTTTTTAATGTTTTAAAACAGCTAAGACAGTTCGAGTTGAACAGGATTCCTATTGTTCTCACGACGTTTACTTGTACAAGCGAAATAATATAGATCTGTAATACAAGCAGCGAGGCGTACACTGGGTGATTTTTATTGGTCGAGATCTTGCGAATACTGTGTTAGCTCTTGTCAGGGCAAGTTATTTTTTGTGCTATTGTCTCGTTTCATCACACGCTACCCGCGAGTTTGAAAACCTAGATATAAGAAATATTAAAGCCCGCAATGGCCGTTTGCGCCCGACTTTCAGCCAAAACGTTACATTTTTAAATTTCGCTCAAAGTTTTCAAATCTAAAAACATTTTCCACCGCCCATAACTCTGCTGCACCGAAGCTCGAAAAGTTCTTCTGAAAGTTCGGCATCTTATCTGGGACCATGCAAACACTAATGAAAGATTTTCCATGGTAGGAACAGATTGTCGCTTATCGGAAGGTCAAATCGCTTAAAGTGTTTCTTTTCAGAGCGGAAATATATTTACTATCATGAAAGACATCAGATGGAGTTATCCAACATAAAGTCTGTGACGACTTTTCGGAACGTAAACTCAAAACGTTTTCCGAAGATCCTTTTAACTCTTACGAAACCTCAACATCTTGCATACGGTTTCAAAAAGCTTCGGAAAGAGCTTCCATTCCCAAACTTTTTGATACGGTTGGTAGGGGCGAGTGATTCCTGTTCAACAGTAGTCTGTTAGGGGGAATATTAATTTGCTCTTTGCCGTGCCCTGAGTTTTGATGGGTAGTGAGAGCTGTAAGAAAATCGATCTTAAAAACTACTTTCCTGCCAAAAATGGCCGAATTTTGTGCACTTTCAAGTACAAAAGGATAATTCTTCTACTTCCAAAATGTCCTTTATTTTAGGTGCCAATTGTCAATACATCTGAAATCATCAAAAAGCCACGCGTTTATTCTGAAGTTCCTGCAAAGAATGGGCCAGTTTTGGCCCATTCTTTTGCGAGCTCGTTTTGGAATTTGCTGCTTCATTGGTTATGAATAATTAATGACGTCCACGCATTGTGCCCAATGCGGTGGAATTAAAAGGGAACGAGAGCAAAGTTTCTTTTATTCTCGTGACACTCTAAGACCCAGGAAGGTTTTATTGGGAATGTGAGTCGTAATTCAAGGCAAGCGTAGTTTTGAAGAGCCACTAAAAGTAATGTTTCTGCCAAATGTAGCTAATCCTCTAAACTATCAAAATGTGGCTTGATTCCTTTTCTTTTTTATGACTGTATCTCCATGCATGGCCAAGCCTTGTTTGTTTATTAAGATTGTCTCTAGGGGTAGATTTAAACAATATTTTACGAGATTACATTTGAACTCCCAGCCATCACTGGTTGACTGATGAGATGATTGATGTGATCAATTTAGCGGCTTTCTGAATTAAAAGTAATTTATATTGTCATTATCTTAGCCTTATGGTGTAAGTCTAACAGGAGCATACATGAAGTACACCACCACAAGTACAGACGGAAAAATAAAGTACGGCAGTGGTAAGTTAGCCATTGATGAAGTTAGACATTGATGACTGTCTATTAGGCGGTGTGCGCACCCCGATTACATTGCATTGTGGTAGAGTTATTTTCAATATGGCGGTAAAAGCGGCAGAAATCGGTAGATTTTGACTGAACATTCCATAGAAGTTAGGCCGTTTCTTTTTCCTTTCACTCACAGATAAATATAGTTTCATGGTTTATCGAGTGTATTGTAAATATGTTTGAATGTAAATTATGTAAATACTGAAACGCTCTTTTAGCTTCCTTGATCTTATAAGAATTATTTTGGTTTGAAAGCTTCATTCATTCTTCTAAAGAATTATTATAGCTGGATTTTGAGCATTGTTCATTGAATTTATAGATTGATTTCACATAGTATTTAGGCTTAGCTTTAGAATCAAGTTGTGTAAAAATGTTAGATAATTTTATTGGCTGAATGTAAATAAAGGTATTATTATTTTAAAAAAATTGATATATTCTGAATGTGTTGAAGTATTTTTTGTACGTATTTGTCGCGTATTCTATCGCTCTCAAGGACAAACGCAAGCACTGTTTTTTCGCATGTAATTTGGGACCGGTTTTCGAGAAGGTCAAATTCGTTATACGTCGCAGTTTGAAGCCTTTCAAAGATTTGTATGGCTACTTTCATCCTTTTTCAACAGCTCTGACCAAACGATCTCAAACGCTCTCCAACGGTACAAATTTTTTTTATGCATTTTAAGTGATAGTGTTTGAGACCTGTTACGGTAGCGAAGAGGCCCATTGTTGAGTTTAGCGTGTTGCGTTACTACTGCAAGGACATTTGCTATATTTACTCAATCGTGTTATAAATGTACTTAAATCTACATAAATCTACTAATTGCGAGAGTTGTATGGTAAATCTACTATCTTGATCACTGAATGAAGGACAGTGTAATTAGAGCAATGGAAAGAGTCACTTGATCCACGAAAGCCTCTGCCTTGCGTGAGGCGACACGCCGGAAAACAAAAAGCAGTCGACCGTGGAAAGGTGTTGATAGGCCTGTGCGTCACCTACCATTCACTAGCGCTTTTAAATCTTCTGCCCTCAAAGTTTAGCTTCTATTAGGATATCTCTTAATGACTTTCCTTTACGATGTGATAAGGGTCAGTTTTAAGGTTTCATTTCCCCATCTGTATGCTCTGAGGTTTGGCAAAGCCGGATGACATTGTGTCACAAAAGGCAATATTTTCTTCTGTGCGCGCGCTATTTCTTTGTTTTAAAGTAAACTTTCTCTCCTGCAGAAATAACTCCAGAGATACGTTTCTCAAAACCTTCGTCTAGGTTTCCTCCATACTCAAGCGTATTTTGAAACTTTGCACGTTTTTACTTAAAGTGGAGCGAGGCAAATTCGTTCTGAGGAGACGTGGGGTTTCACCTTTTACAAATCCCGTATTTACGCTCGGTGGAAAAAGTTCATGTATTAGAAGGCCTCTGTCTCCTTAATATGCGTTTGTATGTCAAGGTTCAATTCCCATCCCATCAAGGTTCAATTCCTATCTTCAGTGATCAAGATAGTAGATTTACCATACAACACTCGCGATTAGCCAATTTATGTAGATTTAAGTACATTTATAACACGATTGAGTAAATATAGCAAAATGTCCTTGCAGTAGTAACGCAACACGCTAAACCCAACAATGGGCCTATGTATGTCAAGGTTCAATTGTATGTCAAGGTTCAATTCCAATTTTCAAAGTTAGGAATATAATTTCTAACTTTGGTATTATTCATTCTGCCATCGGCTGTGAGTGCAACAGTTGTCGAGATTCTTAGGCAGATTGCAGTTTCGAATCTTTCTTAATAACGTCGGTTGCCTGTTAAGAACAAATTTGTCACGGAGGAATGACAGGAGTAGCACAGGCCCGTCACACTTTTTAACTTTCGAAGGAACGGCAACAGACAGTGAATCTCCATTACAATCCACATATATTCACGCTATCTGGCTGCCACCAAAGAAGTTCACTCGAACGCGTAGAGATGCAAATGACTTACCTTTTTTATACGACCATGATGCGATGCAATCAGAGTGCGCACACCACCTGACTGTCTATAAAACACTGGTGTGTACACTTGACGGTGCGTAAGACAAGCACTGGCGTGTACACTATAGAAGGTTGCCAGTTGAAATGATAATGGCAGGTGCAAATTTGTAAGTGTCTGGCAGTTGACATTTGCCTTCCCATAACGTGTAGAATGGGCGTTTTTTTCCGGTCTTTTTTAACTGCGCAGACTTAAAGGTTTGCACTAAACCAAAGTCGCGCGCGAGACCAGGAGCAACTCGCCCCATTCTTTTCTCCGCCCACCTGAGAATCTCGAAAATGAATGCTTAACTTGTTCAGCCTTCCTTTCCTTGGTTCCACGTTGTTTATTTTGGTCTGTGTTTCGTTGGAATAGACAATTCTTTTTTTTTTTCCTGTGGAATGTCCCCTTTCTTACCAGTGTTGACTGTTTTGTATGTATTTTTTCAGCTGCTCAGCTGTCTCAGTCAGCTTACTTTGCTCTTCAATGTCCTTACACTGTGTTTGGCTTGGGAAGAACACCTAATTTTGTTGATGAGCTTGCTGTTGGAATTCCAAGATCAAAAGGCTCGGTAAGGCTAACTGATCATTGTCTCTGCCCCAAGTCGGCTAAGAGATGTAACGCGGAAACGGCTTTCAAGTTCTCGACGTGTTAGCGTAACAGTATGAAAGAGATGGCTGAAAGTCTTGTCTGCCTGAGTGTTATTTTTAAAAGAACATGCGCTCACTATTATGCGCCTCAAGTGACTAAAGAGGGTGAAGTTCCTTTTTATGTATTTATCTCCTTAATTGTTTTTCATTCTTGTATGTAATTTTATTTATTGCAGTCTGAAAGAAAACGTGTTTGGAGTTCTATCATACCGAATTCACAAGTCATCGTGGTTCCTTATCCACCTGATAGCCTCTCAAGGTAACAAAGAGATGATATTAAATCTTCATATAAATAAAACACATTCCTTGCTGATTACTTTTAATTAAAAAGGCAACTTGGTTGTTTGATTGCGTCCTGTGACTCAGAAATACTGTTACAAAGTGCTGACAAGAACGCTTCCTCAAAAAAACTAAACGATAAGATTTCAAAACGTTAAAAGACTTATTCTTATTTGAAGTTTCATTTATGTTGTAGTTGGACGGCTAAGTTGTTAGTTACTCCAAGCAAACTGGTGTTAATTACAGGTGTCAGTCTTTTGGGCATCTGTGTCTTTATTGGTCTTATTATCTTGTTGTTGCATCTCAAGGAGAAGGTAAGCTTTATTTTGATTGGTTCTCACCACGATTGATAACCACATACTTTTGTTTAAATTTTAAAGGTAGATCTCTGCGAGTTTCCGAATCTCTTGTTATTGTGAGACATGTTCAATATTTCTCATCAAATTTTGTTTAGAGAAAGAGGCGACTAGTAATAAAGATTTGACTGGAAATTATGGCTTTAAATTATGTGCAGTCACAAATAGTCTGGGAAAAGGCCTGAAACAAGCGTTTGTAGTGCAACCTGTCAGTTGATTAACAAATGGACCATTCCTCCCTCTCAGATACAGACGTTTCTCATAAAGCATTTCTACTCATAAGAATTCCCTCACGACATAACATGTCTCTTGTCACTTGAATCATGGTTTTTCGGGAGGTTACCATTTAGGTTTTTTTTGCAATGGTTGATAAAAGGGCGTGTTTTCTTTTTTCTCTTTCAGAGAGAGGACCAAAGAGAGAAGCGCCAAGACGCTCACAAATTCCATTTTGATGCCATGTGATGTTCACATGTCGAATAAAAGCTCACAAGCCAGCGGTGGAGGTTGAGTCGTGAAATACGTGGGTGTGTTATTCTTACTATGAAGAATTTCAGAGTACAAGGCGAAACTGTCAGGAAACAGCGATTGAGTGCTTTCTACTCATATGTGGAACTAGTTTAATTTTACAATGGGTTGAGACAAGGGATTATAGTCTCTTGGGTGATACCTGTACCTTAAATACTTGTACCTTACTGAACGCCGAAAAAAAAGACGAGCGTATTTTGCTGTCACTGAATATTTAAGGTCTTACGTGCGTTCTTCAGCATGTGAAATCAAAGGCTGGTCAGTGAATACAATAATCTGTTAAAAAAAATACCTCCCCCCCCTGCACCCTTTCCCCATCTCTGTGGTCCTGGCTTTTTAGTTTCAGAAAAGAGTGTGCTAGCGTAGTGACAAGTACATTGCCATAGCTGTAGGAAGAGAAAGAGAGAGGCTGGGTTGTCAATTATGATCTAGATGAAACCTCAAAACTGGAATAGCGGTATTCGGAATATGATTTATATCTACAAACAACGTTTACCAGCTGAAAGTTAGGGATAATTCGGTGGAAGTGAGTCAGCCTGACACACAGACCAGTGTGATTTATCTTATTACCATTATAAGCATCTTAGCGTTATTCATGTAAACTCGTGGAATAACATCTATTTGTTTTACTTCATAAAGAAACAAATTGTCATTAATTTACGTCATATATGCGTTTGTCCTCCCATGAACCATAAATAAAAACCAATCAAATTGCGTGTACAATTCAGCTTTTTACACAACGATTGATATACAGAAATACCACGACTAACCAACCACAGAAAAGGAAGATGCCTAAAAAAATTTAGGAAAGTAATTATAAGCAACAAGGTTTACATTTTGATAACTGTAAACCTGTTAGGCACAATGATTCCCTTGGAGGCTTGACACCTTTTTGTTTAAAACATGAGTTACTTGGAGTGTCGCAGCTGATATACAGCGAACTAAGGAGATAAGCTCCTACTATGCAATTACATCAGTAAAAGAAGACATGCTTTGATCTCCAATCTAATTTTTTTCTGCTGGTGCGGCGATTGCTCCATATTCGGTTAGAACGATTCTATCATTATTCAGAGTAAGAATTCATAAAAAAAAAATTTTTTCTTTTCAATTTCCACGAGCGTCTTCCTGTTGACTTAAAGATCTTAACTCAGTGATGTTTCTTTCCTGAGACGGGGTAACTTGGACCGACGATGAGTCATTGGTTTCCAGGCCTGCGGCATCTTCTCCGGCCCCAACCATGATCATTATGAACGTGATGCAGCAGCTAGCTTCACACTGAGGATTTTTCCTCACATGATTTATGGAGGTGATGAAGTTAAAGATGTACTGCACTGCAAGTTTAAAAAAATCTCAAAAGAAACATTTGACCAAGGCAAATGCTACAACAGCGATACTTTTTGTTTTGGAAGGTTTGGCAGTTTATCTTGCTGCCGCATGGATTGTCTAACGCACAAGTTGTTCTGTGGAATAAATGATTCTTGAGGAGCGCCTTTATCATCATGATCAAGTTATTACAGCTATAGTATCATTTACCTACATTGAAAATATGAACTTCTTTCCCTTTTCAAACGGGAATTTCAATGAGAATGAGTTCATTGACTCGTAGTGTCGGGATATCACTAGTTTTTCTACATGATACATTTAGTACATAAACTTAAATTCTTACCTGCCATGACGGCTATAACGGTTACATTTACAGCCACCAATATGACCGAAACAAAAGTACTGTCTCTTTCTCTATGGCTGTCCAAGGAAGCCTCATCAATCGGTATTTTTAATAGCATCCCAACGTTTAAGGTAACAAAGTTAGCGAGGAGTGCCACAATCTGCAACCAGTGTTCAAACGTGTCCCGGATGGGCTTGAAATAAGCCACCAAAATAGTGTAAAACCCGGATGTTATGGCAGCTGCACCTAAGTAACTCCGTGTGTTAGCTCCCATAAGAAAGAGTATTGACGTCACCCACACTTTTCTGATCAGTTCGAAAATTTCCCAAAACCAACACTGCCGAGCGTAATTTTCGTACAGGAAACTGAGACCAATAGACATTTCCCTTCCTTTACGATCCTGGGTTTCCGCCTGGTCATAGATCCTTCTATTGAAGAACCTCCATAGTAGCCAGAGTACTGCAATAGGTACAACTACAACAGGTAGAAGTAAGAAATAAACAGCTATTGTATATCTGTTGTACTTCTCAGTAAAACATTGGACTGTGAAGTCGGCGCGCAAGAAGGACTGACACACGTCTTTGCTGGAGCAAATCTGCTGACATGTTGGGGACAGAAAGCTTAAGATGGTGGCACAAGTCCAGGGGTAAGTCACAAAAACCAAGAGGGAGACAACTCGATAGACCTGAGTTCTTTCAGCGGACAGAGATTCAGTCAGGTCCACATTATGAAGCCTCTTTTTAAGAAGCAGCAGTTTTCTAAGCTGGTAGATAAGGGTTGCTAGAGTGAGAAGTGCCGTATGTAGCCCAACAACTGTTAGTAATCTGGTGTACGCGTTTACTGTTACTCCATCGATGATACACTGCAACGGTATAATATCCAGTAGGTTCAGCTGTATTATGTTGGCATAATGCACAAGCGTCCATAACGCCCTTGGCCATTCAACATAAGAAAACGTGTTTAAGGTTCCATATGTGACTTGGTAAAAGCCGATAACAATCTTAAGACGAGCTAGCATCATGTCAGTCACTTTTCTACCGGATGCACAAGTTTTCTTCCTTCCCAAAAAAACGCTGGCCGCAAGAAAAGCACATATGATGGTGATACCACTCACTTGCAAAACGAACCAGAGTAGTATAGGACATTTGCGACAGCGGTTGAGCAATTGGTAATGTCCTTTACTGCAGACAGCGCATAATGGACCCTCGTATCCACGAGAACATCTCGACTCCATGCCTCCAAGACATGCCTCTGTTACTGAGCATTCGTAAACCGGCGGCACTGTTCCTCGAAATCTGAGAAGTTTGTACGAGTCATTTTCTACTAAGAGATCTGCTGAGAATTTTTGGTATTTCATGAGACTCTCGTTCGATGGCCATTTCCAATAGAATCCTGGCTTTAGTCTTGCTGACTCGTTTTGGCATGAAAGTCCATGTGATGGACATTGCATGCATTGGCCAAATCGATCCATTCGATAAAAATTCGGTAGGCACTCGCACCCTTTATAGCCAGCAAACTTTGTATATTGGGTACCTGTAACCAAAAACGTTTTTTATTATGTGGAAAAACACCAACAAGTATTTTTTTGTACAACGTATAAGATTAGAGTCATCAATGATAAACGCTAGTGGAACTAACTAGAGCCGCCGTCTGAGTCTTAGCACAGAAGCCAAAGAAATAGAAAAATGTACGTTTCTGCTAACTCAGAAAGTAATCTCGGTGACCTATCTTTATTACTGCATTTCTCGAGAAAGAGACTTTTCGGGATTATTTAAGGAAAGTTTAAAATCGACCTGTTCGATAACTTTTTCCTGAAAAATCGTCAAGTTAAGTGGCCACCAAGGTGAATACCTAAAATTCTGCACGCATGCGCCCTAATGTTTAACTCTCAGAAAGTCGATGGTAGGAACTAGCGAAGAATTATCAAATCCTGTTTTGACGTTAACTTCTTAACCATTAAGCAAGAACAGAGGCGACAACAAAATTAAATATTGTTAATTATGCAGCTAACCTGGTACAAAAACCTGTTTTCTGACCTTGAATAATTTAGAGTGAAAGGGAAGGGGCTTAGAAGAATGCTTCAAGAATCTTCGCTCGACTTCACAGCGACCACCTCATTAATATACGTTTTCTTTGGCCAATAGCTCGTAGAACGATTTCTACCATTATTTTAATTTATCGCCGTACGAACCTTGAGGACACAAAACACAATCTGTAATGGCTTTTCCTGGAGTGGATTCCAGTGTTACAAAGTGACCTAAAGGGCAATGTTTACATCCAGTACCAGAATAGGCCAGTTCATCTTGATAAAAGCCACCTGTGGGACGAGTGTGACGATAATTGTTTTATTGTTAAACAGGAAAGCCAAGGATCATTACAAAGACTGCCAATCATAGAATCGTATAAATGGGGAGTTCAAGCTTAAAAAAGCTCTGTCTTGGTAAGACATCGTTGGTTAGTCTGTTTTTTGATTATCTGGCTTGGCATTGTAGACGATATAAGGCGCGCTCGCTCTGATTGGCTAAGGAGGAGATCAGAGAAGAGGAATTTTACAGCGGTAATGTCGTACGGGCCTATAATGAATTATGCAAACTGGGAGATCACAAAATGTCAAACAAGTACCGCAGCGGTTCTTTTCGTTCTTTGAAAACAAAACCATGAAGGCCTATTAATAGTCAGAGAGTGGATTCAATTTAATATCACCTATTTGAAACCGAGAGTGAGGTTGTGTCGGGAAAATCTCAAACGTAGGCCTTGCCGTAATGATTTCGTTATCACTTGGTCAATACAGCTAGGCCGTGGTTTGAGATTTTCCCGTAACGACCGAACGGTCGAGTTCATTAAGAAATGAAAAATTTTTTCCGTTAGTTGAAGTACTTTTTTTTGTTTTCTGTATGCATTCCATCCCCGGACACCCAGGGGCTGTGAGTCGATTTCTTCTGCCCTAACTTGAAATCCACTCACCGCCCCTGGGTCTCCAAGGATGTATGCTTTCCAGTTGCCTTGAAAATCGGACACAATTTCTCTCATCAAGTTGTGACACCATTCTACTGAAATACTTTTATAAGGTTCTTAGAACCATATTTCCCGAAAATCAGTATGTTTTGTTGACGGGATACGCAATACGATGGTGTAGTTCCCTGATAGCGCATTTCTATCGTGGGCTTGAGTCGATAAATCAAGAGGTAAACAAGAGCATTGCCGGAAGTAAATTGATGACTTCCGCTTGAATAAATCTTTAGTTTCTTCATTTCTAACCAACTGAGCTAATCGCCTCCCGGTTAGCTCAGTTGGTTAGAGCGCTGGACTGTTGTGCGGGAGGTCGAGGTCGATGGTTCGAGCCCCGACCGGACCAACACTCAAGGTCTTAAAATAATTGAGGAGAATGCGCTAGCTTTCTTTAATATCAAGAAATGGATAGACATTCTAGTCTTCTCGGATAAGGACGAATGAACCGTAGGTCCTATCTCCTGCATCTATTAAGTACTTAATTTGGTTAAGCAGGGGACGTTAAAGAACCCACTCACGAGATACTGTGATGTGGTCTGGCCTGTTTACTGGGAATTGGCGGGGAGGGGACATCTTCAAATAAGTTTCCTTCGATTGTTTGTAAACTGCTGATGCAGTCCGGCCACATTTCCCCGAAAAGTGTTGTGATGCTCATTTGATCATATCCACATGTTAATTTGCGCAATATAAATATTGAATTATTATTATTATTATTATTATTATTTCTTAAGCGAAGTAATAAACAACTTAATAACCACGGCCTTTCGGTCGTTACTTGAAAATCTCAAACCTTGGTCCTTGCAGTATTGAACTCGCTATCGCCCTGTCAATACGGCAAGATTTTCCCGTAAAGATCTCAATCTCGGTTATTTAAGTAGTTAGTAATCAACTACCTGCAGGGCATGCAGTGCAGGTCCCTTGCATCCCTTCATATGTTCCAAGAGGACAAGGATTACATAGATAATCTTGCACACTTCCCACAGTCAGTTTACATACGAATCCCAAGACAAAGCCTCCAAGTTGACTGGGGACTGATACATTATAAATGATAACTTCCTGAGCAGGAGTCCTGTGGGGAAAAATAAAACCCACCAAATATCATCCGGCAATGTTTGCAGATTAGGAATGTTTATATTCACCAAACGTGGCTTTAATTATGAGTGCCATCCTGCACATGATGAATTACAAATTATCATCATAACAATACATAGCTTGTCGCATCAAAAAGAATCTAAAACTTGGAGACTGGGTGTGAGTTATCTGTAAATAAGGCCAGGAGCTTAAATATTCTACCGCTTAACTTCGAGTTTATTTGAAATCTAACCATCCAAAAGAAGAAGAAAAAAACACAACTGAAACACAGAGGTTAATTATCGTGCCTCAAAAACAATGAACTCCTCACAGGTCTATCACCAAGTCCCGTGGTCCTGACAGATCATTAGGTGAAAGTACATCGATAGATGTGAAAACCAAGATCCTGTTGTGATGAGTGAATAAAAAAAATATTTATCCAGTCGACATATATGACCAAATAGCAGGAGATATAATGACCCCAAACATTGTCATTCAACACATTAATTCATTACTTCTTGAGAAATTGTGTGAGAAATCGATCGGTGATATAAACACTTGTCAATTCAATGAGCCTCTTTGCAATTAAACGCGTTGCTATCACAATACTAACGAATAAAAACTCTGAACTGAACTGTGTAATAACGGTTAGTAAACAGTAACAGTCATTGACACAACAATTTGATTGACACCTCAACTTTCTGCTTTTTCTCCTTAGTCCCCTTGGGAACTCTGCTTTAGTCTCATTGTCTTAGTATGAGCCGCAAAAGAGATGTCTTTGGTCTTAGCTTACAGATATTGCAAATCCGGCGTTGTTGAGAAAGCTCTTTCTGATATACTGCGTAATGGATTGTATGCTAGATTGCTAAAATAATTCAGAAATTGGACAGCAATGATTAGAACTCTTAAACATCCGCGGGTAAGTAGCTTATTGCCTGAGTTTGCTAGAGCCTGGCAAGGAAATATGGAGTTTGGGTCGAAGAACGGATGGAGAAACTCAGACACAATGCTATTGATCATGTGACTTCTGGGGCCTGCCCAGTCTCCTCTATCACATTTTAATAGAACACAAGCTTTATGTTTTGTTTGCACATTTATGGTCATGTTACAATACTATATAGAATTCCCTCTTATTTAAGTGCATGTTTTCGCATAATTTTTTAAAAGGTAATGCCTGAAATTCCCCTCAGACCTGAAACGGGATTGTGCGATTACAGGTGTCCACAATTAAAATCAAAGTCAATTACTGATTACATCCTTGCCGATCAACAAATGCATCAAGAAAAACTTTCTTAATATCGCCAAAAATATCAGCCTTTAACAAATGATCTCTCACTTACATGAGCTTAATGGAAGGAAGGTTAAAGAAGCAGTGACTATCGACTCTTGCGATCCGGTTTCTTGAAAGATCGCTGAAAAAGGAAATGAACCCCGGCGAATTAATTTTCTATCTTTGCTATACATAGAAAGGTGGAAGGAACCTTGAGATACCGCAAGTGTTTCACTGATCTCTGAAATTTTCAGCTAACTCAAGACTCAAATTTCAGGCCGTTTACACATTGAGTTTGAACTCCTCCTTCCCACCATGCTAAGCGCTGATTTTCATGAGACGTCATGTAATTTACACAGCGAGTTGTAAGTTCTATTATTTCATGCCTGGCTAAATATATAAATCAGCATGCAAACAAACCCTACACTAAAAATAAAGCATTCATTTTACGCACAGGTAAAAAAGATAGTTCATGTTGCTAAAAGTCCCATTTGATAGTAGAGAAATCTTGTTGCCTCCTAGCAATCTAAGGGCAAACACACAATTAAAGACAAATGAAAACGTGAATTATGATCATCATCCCTGATTGGGAATCAAAAGTGACCAGCAGCTAGGGTAAACATGACTATAAAGCAATTTATAAGGAACAAGTGATAGAAACTTCACAGCTTTTTAGTCCAGCTCATTCACCTTTTTAAATTTCTACTCGTTGCGATTCAAGATTGCTTTAGGCAAGGATAAACTCAGGATATAATTAGATAGGAAACCCAAGCTCCACGAAAAGTACAAAATGCTTGGCCTAGACCGAACTTGACAGGCAACTCACATGATATTAGCTCTGCCAAGGCCTTTGAACGCATCTTGGTGTACAGTCTCAATGTGGTTATTGGAAAGATCTCTGCAAGACGGTCAAAAAGTATGCACTAAACATGATTTTGATTACTTCTCTGGTAACACCGTATTCAAATGAGAGTAATGAAGGCTTTCGCTAATAGCAGGTTGGCTACTCCCAATCAACCTCGGGTCCAGCTTCCCGGAGGCCCATGATCAACTTCACAGCCCAGGATCCTCATGTGCCCGCGGTAAGCAGTGCAGTTTACTGCTTCCTTTTCCCCCCTTAGACGAGCTTATTTTTTCAAGCCTCGTGTTCCACTGAAACAATCCCACTTAACAGAAATTTGAGGATGAACCTGGTCCCCCTTTCAGGTCCTGTAAAGAAAGATGATGTCAGGCTTGACTGATTTCCCCCAAAAAAATGAAACACAGAGTTGAAAAAATTGTTCAGTCTCAAAACAGAATCGAGTATCACTATAACATTATTCATATCGAGTCACACAAAGGTCTTGACATGAATGCATTTAATCGCCTAACCAAAACTATTTTTAACAGTGCTGTGTCGGTGGGGGAGTAAAACTAGATAATTTGGTTGTATCAACTGAGTTGATACAACCAAATTGGCCACCGTAAAGAGTCTCAATTCTGACGTTTCGAGCGTTACCCCCTCATTATTCAATCCTTTGGTCAATATATGTGTAAAATTGATTCGACTACGAAGAGGGAGAGTTGGGTTTTGAGCGCTTTCAAAATAGTCGGTAACGGTCTCAAGAAACTGTTTAAAGCAACCTTAAATGAGCCACCGGACATAGTTCAGTGGCGGCTGCAGGCCGTTGTGTCGCTTGGTCGTGGGCGTTTAAGTTGACAACTGCCCGCCTTACCTTGGGGTTGGTCGTGGGACGTAGGCAGACTTTTTGGCAAATCCCATCATCAGATAACAAGAAATACTTTGATGCAAGTGCAAGATGCAAACTGATAAGTTGTCACTTTAAGAATGAGGAAAAGTGCGACGCACTTATCCTCATTTTTAAACTGACAACTTATCAGTTTTTTACACAGTAAAAAGAAATTACAGCGACGAGGATTAGGTGGGTAAGGAATCGAAGACTATGCTCCAAGAAGCCCGAGTATTTAAATTTACGATTCTCCAATGTAACCTTTTTTTTTGTTTGTTTTATCAGCTCGATAGGAATACGTCCATGACCTGTAAATTGTAAATCAAATGGTATAGATACATACATTGATCCATCCACAGTTCTGTTGATAAATGCTTGAGATGGTATCTCAGATATCTGATTATGTCGCAAATTCCTAAAAATAGAAAACAACACGCTCTATATTTCGAATTGTAAGTTTCAAAAATAGCTGGTTTCTTAGGTTTGCTATAGTTACCTTTTCTCTCCTTAAACAATTATAACAGCAAAGTGGAAGAAAATATTCTCATGTGAGCTTGGAGAGTGCGTTACACAAAGACTCAGGATAAAACTGAGTGCATGACCTATAAGGAGGCACCATATTAATTAATCATTGTCATTACTAGTTTCGACTGATCACTGAGAATCTAAAATCTGTTTGATATTTGAGCATTGGGTGTATATGTTTCAGGCAAGACTCGTCATTCCGAATAAATTTTTAACTGCTAAGTTATTTACTCAAAGGTGGCCCAGAATAGTTTCGATTTAAAACCAATACAATCGTTGGGACAATCCAATGAGATAATGAGAGTGATAAAGCTTGGAGGAACGATGAAAATCAATTAGGTTGCTTCAGTTCAATGAAAATAAACTTAGTTAAAAAAAAATTTACTGAAAGGACATTAGTTCGATCTCGAGTTTCTTCTAGCGAGTCACGAATTCCCTTCCCTTTCCCTCGTAAGTTGAAGCCAAATTTTACAAACAATTTAATCGTCACACTGCAAATTCAGAAGCGAACATAATTCAGCCAAGGTGTCTTATCTGCTTTTCAAGATGTACCTTTTAGAAGCCTTTTTACCCTTCTCACTTTCCTTTTTTTTATTTCACATGAGCACTGAGACGGGAAACTATTAATAGCGTGATGGTCAACTTTATTCCCATGCACCCTGTTAAGCAATATTTGGCATTTTATTTCAACTGTATCAATACAATGAAGAAAAAAATTTCCTCTGTAAAGCTACATCTTAAAGGTATTTACAGACTTAAACCATCCTCTTTTCATTATGGGGATTAGATTCTAAAAGAAACTGTGGTGCCGGGTCGGTTGGGGAGCATAGCAGGGTCAATTTGGTTTTATCGACTGAGTTGAAATATCAACTTTGAAACTCTTTACGGTGGCCAATTTACATTATAAACTCAGTTAATAAAAACTAAAACGGCCTTTTTCAAGTTTCTGAACAAGTTAAGGAAACGTCAAACAACTCCCCTCCCTTGAATGAAACATTTCCATTTCGCTCGAATAGGCGTCCTCCTGTATCATTCAAGTTTGTTTGAAGTTTTTCACTGTATAACTGTGAAGCTAAGTTTTAAAAACACTCCGTATTCTCCTTGGAAGGCTACGTTAATAGCTTATTCCGATCTTGGACAAATGCGTCAAAATGTTTATGTGTAGTCTTAGTCAAACATTTCATCTATAGAAATGGCTGCCTCTCAATTGGAAAGGAAAGTAGTTTTAAATAGTTAGTTTTAAATAGTCTCCTTTCCTGAATTCGTTATATTACACAAAATATTTCCTCACAAAGAATAAAGAAAAAAGGACGTCACCAAAGACGGAGTGTCAACTGATAAATCCTTCAAATGATTGTTCGACAAATCCCTAAAATGAATTCAACGAAATATGTTATTCTATTAGTAGGTGAGCCCGTAGGCTGTAGAAGACCAGAGTTTTAACAATTTAATAGTATCATGAAACTCATTAAGTCTTCCTACAACATTGTTGCGAAATGCGAGGACAATGATACAAATCATTTTTTGATTGGGTTCGTGTTTTGTGGAAAAAATCAAATCACCTTTTGTTTAGTACTCACACGTAAAAAAGGATTTGTAAACCCACAAAAGTATTGGGATGAAGATGTTCCAACTCGTTTCCTGAGAGGGATCTATAGGGGCAAATGAAAATCGTCACTCTAATTTCCTGAAGTCGGAAATAGATTAATGTAGAATTGTATCTGGTCAAAACTAAGTGGTTCTTACAGCTCCAAAAGCAAGGAATTTTTCTGGAAAACCCCCTCGTCAATTTGTGATATATAGTTCCTGTTTAGATTTCTGAAAAGAGGTACAGCAAGGTGAACATATGGCACATGTTAATAAACAGAGGACACTTGAAATCATCATATATACGATCTGACAAAGTTATCAGAAATGGCTAATCATTAGCAGGATCTGATCTTCCATTTGATTTGCCAATAAACCCAAAGAAAATATTCAACAATTATTTTACAGAATGGGACGATCACAATGTTAATTGGTTCATCCGAATAATAACCCTTTTGTGATGTTGGGAGATGACTCAAAACTAAGGCTTGTTTATAACATATATTTTTGCGGTAGTCCTTCGCTCTGCATTAGCCAAAACAACTTGAAAAAAATAAGAATAGGGAGAGCTTTCTTATGACATGCGACTTCTGGTTATTTCTGCCCGATTTTCCATTTTATCATTTGTAATCTCATTGGTGCACCTTCCATTCTAGTGAACTTTAATTTTCTTAATGTTTTTCAGTATATCCTAACAAATTTCTTTCGCAACTTCCTTTTATTCAGGCAAGGCATAATCGGAAGGTCGCTCATTCAGTCTACTAAAACGGCATGATGCTGAACGAAGCTGACGACGATGTAAACTTGCTACGGGAGAGGAGGGTACGTGAGATTATACCTATCACTAAATGCTTTGTAAAGTTAAAAACGTGTAAATAGTTGATGGTATCGTAAAACTTTGACTTACAGAATTTGAAGCCAACTGAGGTTTCGAAAAGAATTTTTGTCAAGACTTGTTAACAGATTCTCAGCCAGGTTTCTATATCAGGATTAGACAGCATCAATATTGACACAGACTTATGCTGAAAAAGCTCCATATAAGTCCTTATAATTTTATTATAAGAAAGTGTATGGAGCTCTCCGAGATACTTACAGTGCAAGCCCCATGTGTCTTCTCATGAACTCGCATTTTGACCCAAGTTTCCGTTTTTAAAAAGCAGTCTTTAGTAAGTCTTGACCCAGGACGGTTGTCATACGATGTAGTCACTTCCGAGTCGATCACAATGTTGTTGATTGCGTATGCAAACCGCTGTTCTTTTCGAGCGAGAAGGTCGACAGGCTAAGCGTCGGATCGTAAAGCACAATACACATACCGGGTTATAGAGGAGGCAACAGCGAAATGCTCACGGATTACATCATTGAAATGCACCATGAATCACGGCTGAAACATCTACCGATTGTATCGCAGTCTTGTGCTTCATAACCGGACGCATAATCACTCGACCTTCTCGGCAGAGAAAGACCACCAGCATACAGTGGAAATGTCACGATCCAAATCAGGTTAGGAGTTTTTCCACGAGAGGACCGGGAAGGTGTGACACATAATATCTGACCGATTTCTTTTTTAACTTTAACAGTTTATGAGGGTTACTAAGTTATTGAAGAATCCAGAGTAGTTCAGGATCCCGGCTAATCCCTGGGGTATTAGAGCCCCCGCATCAAAACGTTTTTAGAGAAATTCAAAGGTCTTGAGAAACAGTTCGATTTCGGGCGTACCTCAACTAAGCTAGAGAGGGAGTCAGACCATGACAGAATCAAAGCAAAGTGTGAAGACACCAGTAAAACTACCACGGGAGGTTATGTACTAAGTGCAGCCGTTGGTGGTGAACTATCAACAAAACAGAATCGACTGCGGCATAGCTGACAGTCCATTTTTAGATGGGGTTGGGCTTTCAAGAAGTCGAAGAAATCTACCAGATTTTTCCAACAAGTGCATTCCTTTTTACAAGAGATATTCTTACAAAGAGAAGAAACCGATTACAAGGCAAATCCTACTGATGTTGCACCTAAAAGGAAGCGTCTAAGATCAGAAAATGAAGACAAATTGTTGACCAAGGAGGAATTGCTTTTAGTTGCTTGCAATTGCGAGATATTTCAGCAGGCTGTCAGCCCTTAATTATAGACCGGTCTCTTAAATCGAGTTGTAAGTGCCTCCTTGGATGACGAATATACGATCAACACGTCAACAAAGCTAAAGCGATCGAGATGAGATTTCAAATAAAAGGCGACCTCACGTGATTGGTAGATAATCTTCTTCTTGTAAGTAGCCTATGGAATCATTGGCTTCAGCGTGAAACAAAATGAGGCCTTTATGCCATTAAAAGGGATTGATAATGAAAAAATGGACCGATAAAACACTTCATTTTTAGAAACAACACATTGAGAAACCTCTTCTTACCTTATCATTCAGCAATCGAACTCTTACTAGACCTTTTTCAGATTACCAGCGTGCAAACTTTATTCATCAGAGCTCAGTGGTCTTTTTTTTCTGAATTAAAGTAAGGTTAAATGTATCAAGAGCAACTGTTACATACTGTACCTAAAATTCTATGGAGGCTCCTCCTAGTTTCCCACGGATGAAATAATTTTGTGGCGTATTGAGCATAATTATAATGGGCATATAAAGTGTTTAATTTCTGTATATTACTTTTGGCAAACTTTGTTGTCAACTTCCGACATCCATAACTCAATTCGGTAATGTTTAACGCATCTATGGTTATGTACATACTTTAAGAATCATTGTTTTCAATGAATTGTGTCAGCGCTACAGAATTTTTATGAGAAGTGACTCCTTAGCTCAGCTTAGACATTAGTATCACATCAACTAACGTCGGCGATCCAATCCTCAAATTGAAATTGACTGAGCTTCAGTTTATGACCAAAAACTGCATTAATTAACGTCAGAGGTCACCCTAGTTCAGAGGGATGGGATTACGAATGTATTGGAGGCCAAAATGATTTTTTTGTTGCTCACAAGCAATATAATAGGTCTTTTCTGAGGTGATATGTTCGTCAACATACAATGTTCCCCATCAGAAATATTTTCAATTAAAAAATCCATTTTTTGCTTTCTTCGAATAGTTGCGTGACACAGTTAATTAGTAACTGCTCTAAATTAGCAGAAATTATAACAAATATATGAAAATATATATAGTTCAAACAACAGATATAAATAGTTCAAACAGCCATTGGAAAAAATATTAAAAAAAATTCCATCGCATTCTGTTAGTGCGAGAGAGGAAGATTCGTTGGAAGTACATTTTTCAAGCTAATTTTAGTTTTTTACCGCTAGGATTTGATGTGGGGGTTTTAATACCCGTGGGACTAGCCAGGAGCCCGTACTACTCTGGAGTTGAAAACTAAGACTAGGTTTACACTAGAGGAAATTGTTCCGGATTCGTGATGAACCCGAAACGTTTTAGTACCGTACTGATTTTTCCGTTTACACGAAAGTGGACGAATCCGAAATAAAAACTCCCCGGTTTGGTCGTGTCTACGGAGATTTTGTAACCGTTTTTTTTCTCGAATCCGGATATTATTTCCGCCTGCAATCTTTTGAGTTTGCGGTGAAACCAAAATGGAGGGTCTGATGCTAACATTGCTGGCGGTTGCCTAATCTTGCTGCAGGTGCAGGCGATAAAACTTATCATGTGTACCGCAGTATTTCTGAGGAAACGCAAATTATTATTGCAAGGAAGTTTACCGTCAGCCACACTTAATCGCCGACGACGTAGATGGCTTGGCATCTATCCAACTCAAATTTGCCTCAGTGGCATCTGGATCTACTCTAGCCTTTTTTGGGGGAGGCATTTTCACTTTGTCGATCGAACGATAAAACAACACTGGGCTTGGTAACCATCTCCTTTAGAATGTTCCCGGAGTTGTTGTTGTGTGTAAACGGTCAGGAATACGAATATCCTTTCAGTGTAAACGCCTACGAATCCGAATATTCCAAAATTGATGAATCCGGAAACATTTACGAATCCGGAAAACTCTCCTCTAGTGTTAACCTAGATTAAGTGAAAGTTTGAAAGAAATCGATGACGTGGCATGTGTCACGCTTGCCTGGTCCTCTCGGGGACAGATTCTTAAAACTACATAGAAAACAAACGATGAAACTTCATTTTGATGATGAGCCATGAATAATCAAAACCTTTGTACCAATTTTTTCGCAATTCTGCCAGTAGATGATCTCACTATAACTTTGCACCTTTCGTGTAAACATTTTGTAGTGAAAAGGCCATCCTGGAGTGCGAGTAGATATACGTTCACTTGAACTTCATGATACGGAATTGATCGAAATCATCAGCAACCGCAGCTAACAAGTAAATTCAACCCCAATAACTTACAATTCTTCCAGAGAGTTAAGTCCAGCCAATGTTTCATAGAAGATGTTTGATATAAGGTTCTGGGACATATCGCTGATAAATAAGAAAAAAGTGGTGCTTGATTCTTGAATTACTCTCTCAATGATAGCATTATTCAGTTGAAGCTGTATGACACTTTTTTATTTAAGCATATAGGTCACTCATGTCAACCTGTATGTTATTAGAACTTCAGTGGAACCCCGCCTTCCAGCCATCTCAGTAACACGGTCATCCAGCAAAACTACATTTCCTTATAAAGACCCTCGTTAAAGTGGTCACTCTTCAATACGGCTAACGACACCATTTTAAAATCCCAAACAGCAGAAACCTTTACCGCCAGTGGCCCCAAATTTAGAAAACGAAACGCCTCTGACATGTCATTCCAATGATCTCTGTCATTTACGAATCAAACAGCCGATTTACATTACATAGTAAGCAACACTCCTCCCTATTTTCATTACAACAATAATAAAGGAAGTAATTCTTGACGCTAACTTTTACTTAGGCAAACTGACCCTGCCCCAGTAATACAGCCACCTTGTTGATAAGGCCAGTTTGTTTATAAGGCGCAATGGTCATTGTATTAAAGGTTCCACTGTACCGTACTTGAATAGACAAGCCTAGTTCCACGAAAGGGTTGTGTCAGAAGGGTACTGAGCTCCTAATTTTAGAGTATTTTCTATTGATTAAACGATACCGTTAGTTAAATAGCATTTAAAAAAGAAAGCGTAATTCAACTTACAGTTCGTGCAGATTATTCAAATTCTTGAAAGTATAATTGAAAATAGTTTCGATCTTATTGTTAGCAAGATGTCTATGAAAATAAAATAAAAAACTAAATCAAAGGTCATTATTATTTGAGATAATCGCCTAGAAGTTCAATCCTGAGCTGTTAAACCCCAATGTACAATAACCGTTAACTAAAAGACAATCTTCATTACTTTCATACTTTTCAGTTAATAGCTATTTTAATGATGGATTATCTAGTAAATAATTATTCATTAGTTATGACAGTTCTCTGTGTAACGTAGCATTAAATTTCATAAAAAAAGATGATCAGGTTATTTCCAACAGTAATCTCGTCCTCTCACATTCTTTGGTTCGTGCCGCTTCGTGCTACAACTTTTGACGCGAAATTAAATTTTAAGATTCATGAACCGTTATGTCTAATAACAGGAGATCATGCCCCGAAAATAAATATCGATGACTAATTAAATAGTCACACATATTGAAAAATAGTTTTCTCACAAAATTCCGAGTTCTTCGAGACCAGCAAAGTCAGCATTTTGAATCCTTCGTATTTCGTTGCCGCTCATGTCCCTTAAAAGAAGATGTAAAACAGAGGCAAAAATGTCAGTGGAACGGGAAAATAAACATATGTTAGTTTTTTTTTAAGTATCATCAGTTCTAAGCCTTTCAAAAGGTTGACATCTCGACAAAGACAAATTTTGATAAATTGACTCTCCTTAAAAGACTACAGACTCCAGCCAAATGCTAACTTGTCACCGTGAATTGCCCTATGCCGAAATGCCAGCTATACTTTTTTTTTGGTAGCGATTTTTTTCAGCTACACCGATTAAAACTGGCTCATTTAAAAACATATGTAGACACACCGCAAATAACAAGTGAACGTACAGCAGTATGGTGATACTAGAGTGGTTTACGTCAGAGACAGAAGACAGCTTCAAATCTGAGCAATCCACCCTGAGATATAACAACTCCATGTCGCTTTCAACTCTAACACATTTACACTTTTTATAGTGATTCCTTAGCCCTGCGGATCCAAATGTAAAATAGTTAGAGTGTTGCCTCATCGCAATCGATGCCTGGAAAATACCCACTTAATGTCAAAAGAGGTGATCAATTGGATATCTCTTCCTATAAAGAATGTCGGTCATGCTCTCCTTCGTGGAAGTTAGGGTCAAGGGTTAGGGTATATCCATGTAAATATTTAGGTTTGTTAAGCATCAATTCAGAATAAGATGACGAATCATTGTCGGGGTAACAGCAGGTAAGTACATCAGTATTATGCATCTACACAAATATGTCTCTTCGTGTGTGTCTCGTCTTTGATTCCGCGGTGTCCGGCCTCACTTAACACAAAACCTTGAAGCTGTGTTTTAGCAATAATTATTAGTGCTGCTTTGAAACCAAGAAATAGGTAGAGATAAACATAATCAGCGTTATTTGGATACTACCAGTGGTCGAAAGGTCGAATTTTCTGTCACTTGATGAGGCGATTACAACGTTTACCAAATCCTTTTACCGAACTTACCCGGACACGGCTGCGATATCCACCTTTTTATCTCTTCGACAAAACTGTGATTGAGAGCTGAAAAGGAGAAATAATACAAATGGGGCAGGACCTTAACACATTTCTTGTACAGCTGATACTAAATAACTCGCTCATTCCACAAACTTTGGAGGTGGTGTGGCCAGGTGGTGAAGGGCGCTGGACCTGTACTCTGGTGCTCCTAGGGGTTCAAGCCCTCAATTTCATGAATAATTTGAGATATGAGAATGTAACTGTCGAGAGATAGGGAGAATGTTCGTATCCGACCTCACCATTCGATCAGTGCTGCTTACACTCAGATATCCATAAAAATCATCATTTAGAAAAGATTGAAGGTAATCCACACAACTCGGAATCCATTCTCAACTCTTAATTTTTTTTCTATTCTTCATCCGCCCACCTCTAAAAACAGAAACGTTTTGTTCCTGTAGATTTCTGAGATATGTACTTACTAACTGTATCGTAGAAAACTTGAAATCCTGAAAATTCTAAGTGGCCATCAGTGTTCAAATAGATCTGTAAATGGGGACCTGTTGAAAACACAATCTTGTCTGATCTTTTCTCACCACAAATGCGCACGATGGCATCGCTGGATGGCAAGGGGCCATCCTGGACCAAAACAAAGTCAAATCCACATTCTTTAGAGGATTGCAGGTGAAATGAGGTGAAATTGAGTTTTATCTGATTTCCTCTCTCTGTTGATATGTTCCAAAGAATATTTAAATAGGGCGGATACACTCCTGGAAAGTTTGGGCTTGTCATTGTTCCATTGTTACCATAAATTTCATGAGAGACCCTGAGAATTCCTGTTTAAGGAGAAAGAGCAAAGTGAATTTTTTATAGATTTTAATCGAAAGTTTAATCTAAGTTTAATCTGCAATTGTGGGTGAGGATGGTTTACATTTCTATACACGTTGTAGCACTATCGATACCAAGGAATAAAGTAAAGTAACGATTTAAAATCATAGTAGGTTTAAAGTGTAATATTCCTCTCATAAGTGAAAGGTTGCTCACCGAAACATACTTGAGAGAAAGCTTGTATGACCATGAAGAAGAGTGACATATTTACACATCTGTGTTGAACCTGGCAAAAAAATTAACATTAACATTGACAACATAAAAAATGCTTAACTTCTATCGCTGGCAGAAGACATAACTCGTGTCAACTTAACTTGCTCAAAGAGTGAAACAGCGAGATTACGATAACAGAACAATTTCGGAAACTTTTGCAGTATAATCTCTCCTTAAATTAAAGTCTTTGAGATGTTTTGAATGTTGCGAAAGACTCGATTATCCCAAAGATGTAGCCATTGACTTGTTGGTTATTTGAAGATAAACGATTTGCATGTTAGCGTATTGTTCAATGAGGGAAAAACTCAAGCATCGTTACAATAGTTTTGAAAGATGTTTTAAACCTGTAGGCTTGCAAATCAATGAATCTTTCCTCGTTTCATTAAAACTACAAAAATAGGTTTTCGGTCAGTGGTATAGCATAGGGTAGTATGTGATGTCTATACATACTGAGAACATATGACGGCGAAAAAACCATTTACATGCGACAACATAAGCATAGCACCGAGGGAAATGGAAATCAAAAAGTAGTCTACAACAACACCGTTCCAAACAAGGAGAAAAAGAGGAATGGTAAGAGATAGAGAAGTAAAAAGCCATTTCACAACAGCAAATTGTAGCACTGGTCAACACAATGCATCACAGACAATCACCAAAAGAAATAGCCCAGAGAAAGCATCACGAACCACTACACACCTCAAATGTCTCATATTTTCTACGCCCGGTTGTTGTGATAGACAACATACACAAGGAATAGTAAATCACAACTTGCCTGTCGGTTTGTGTCCTTCTTCTACACTGAGGCCAATCCTCTTAAACTCAGTTATCAGCTTTTGCTTCTTTTAAATGCTCCCCTTTTTTTCATTATTTTGGCTTGGTTTTGTAATGAGTTGTTTAAATTTAAAAAGAGTCAAAATTACTTGGTCGTTACAAAAAAATACTCAAAGGAAGCAGCTGCAAAACGTTAAATTTGTGTTTCTCAAGGTGGTTCAAGTGATTTATATAAAATCAGCCTCAAATACAAATGGAACAATTTAATATGTGAAAATCTAGTAGCTTTTGCTAATAGATACGCGACAGAATTGTTTTCATGCACAACACCTGCTAAATTATTACTGAAAATCTCTTCTTCGACATATCACAAATACTCTTTGATATTATTAGCCGATTTCCTCCAGTAATATCCCATTGTCATTCTCCTACTGATCGGAGTCAGGAGCCCAATGGGCTCCTGTCAGAGTTTGAAATGAAATAAAATTATATTTTGTCTGTCTTGTATTCCACAGGAGCACAAAACAAAACAATTCTGGGAAAATTTTGCATGAACCGTTAAAATCCTCTTCAGATCTTTTCAGTCGCGCTGGCACAGTGTTGCATCAGGTGTCTGGCCATGACATTGAATACTACAACGAGAACAAATTTTTTTGGTTTTTCGAAAACGTGACATTGTTATTTTGCAAAGTTTTAATTGACGCATAAATAGCACATATGCTTGGCGCCAAGAGATATCGCTGTAATTAAGCAGCCGAAGAAAAACTGCGGCAAAACACTCACCACTATTTTATTCTAGTTTAATAAGACAGTTAGGTGCCAGTGGAAGTTAAATACAAATGATATGCTCAGTGTTACCTTTACTAAATATTTCAAATCGCAACATTCTCTTGAGTGTCATAATGATATTTTTGGATCTTTTCAAAAACTTCCCTGTAGTATGAAAAGTTGGCTAATTTTAATTTGTGAGGATATTTTAAGACGGATACTTTCAGCTGAAAAGAAAATTGAACGCGGAAAAAATTGATACCTTGAGTCGAAAGTAAATAGGGTTGGGGTAGGCTTTCGTTTGATTTTTTTTGTTTTGCCGGCACTCTTTGAGCGCTGAAAATTACTCTTTAAGGTGTGAAGGTGTTTATGAAATCAACAATATGCATTTGATATGTTGCTCCATCTCAGCAAGTAAAAAAAATTTAAGAAACCTACTGTGTACTTTGCTGTTTTTGTTCTACTACTCGAATAGAAACATCGTGGGCATTGGTTTCCAGTAGAAATTTCAGCCCCCACAAACAGTTCACATTTGCACCAATTAAGAATGAAACATCACAGATGCACAAAACGATACTCCCTCAAGTTTTTCTACGCGGTATTCGCGACAATTTCAAAATCGAAATGTATACTACAAGCATGACTTCTTCGTATAAAATAATGGACAGTTGTTTGGACATAGCTTTGTCTCGAACATTTTGAAATTTAGAAATTGTTAATATGCAGCGTGCAACCATCAAGTTATGGATGTGCTTGGGATGTTGCTAAGCACGAAATAAACGAGAGAAACGCACGAGGCGTAAGCTAAGTGAGATTCTAGCTTTTTGAGAGCTTGGCAAACCTGCAAAGTGCATCCACAACTCGACGGTTGCACGCTGGACGCTAATCATTTAGTTTTCAACATTGCCGGAGATTTTCGAACATTTTTCGTTTCGTTTTAAAAAAAAAGCATAAAAAACTGATGTCAGCTTACAACTCACGGGTTAACAGATCGAATGTATTAGCCAATCATATTGCGCGCTTTTTTAAAGCCATTCCACAATGTTTACAATGCATGTTTCAGTATCAGCACTAGTACAGTGTAAGTGTGAATGGTTCATTAGATCAGTTATCGTTTATTTGATGTTACTTTACCACATAAATAACCGTAATAATTCCAGAGCCTATACTTCCCAGCTATGTGCCATCCAAACATTTGCGAAAGACGCTCCTGGAGAACATATATGCAAAATATTAAGGCCTCCTGATGAGTTAACTCCAGCAAAGCGTAATTTTAACCGTATGAAAATTTAGAGACACCAGGCTTATCTATTTCTTTATTTTAAAGAAGGGCTAGAACACATCAGGAAATACAATTTCAAAAACTCTGAAGATCAATGTAAACGAATTATGACACTGTGCACTAGTAGAAGTCATAACCTATTAAGTCGTATCTTAAAAAAATGTTTTTAATGACTTTTTAATCTTAAAGCGATAAAATAAATCCCAAAATTCCTTTCTTAGAGCCCTGTCTGTAGCGCCGTAAATAAAAGAATTATTGGCGGAGGTGAGGCAAAGAAAATAAGTAAAAACCAATTCCCCTTGACAAGGGAAGCGTGGATTTGTCATATTAAAGCTAAGTTGGTCACAGATGACCAATGGGATCCAACATGTGACATACCCGAGTAAAACCACAAAAACTGTTTTTGTGATTTTTACTTCTTTAAGTTTTGAAGCGATTGAGCTTCATGGCGCATGACTGTTGTCTTGGCGGGAAGAGATAGCAACTTGAAACATATTACTTCTTATCACTTTGAATATTCGGTAATAACTCAGGGAAATTACGATCATAGGGATCGCGACGTTGATAATCAAAAACAATGTTCCAATCATCTGGTCCGTGTTGAATGAAAGTCGTGAAGCACATTGCTCTTCTAGGGTCGAGTGTTATTCTTACGAATCCTGGGCAGTGAAGGATAGATGTCAGACTTAGAATAATCGTTCCTTCCACCAAAATCATTATCTTAGTCGCTGTTCGGTTAAACTTGAAATTTTGCCATACAGGTCTTGATGAGCGACACAGATAAAACGATTGACCGCAGTTAAAGCCATTATGTGTAATGAAAATCCTGTCAAGGCGGGAGCAATGATCCCTTGAACCTGACAAGGAAAGTTTTTAACATCTACTGGGTTTACCTCTACGATCCATTTTCCTTTGAAAAGGACAATGGTTGCTACTGTGAGCGGAAGGCAAGCTGTTAGCATATCTGCTGCTGCTAGCGTAAGAATCAATAGATTTGTGGCGGTGCGCAGGGTGGGATTCCGAGTCATAATTAGACACACGAGAAAGTTTCCTCCAAATGCGATCGTGGTGATTAGTAACATGATCCCTGACTCAACAGCAACAAGATATTTTGGTCTGGATGAGAGTTCCTTGAAATATTTGGGTGCCAACCACCAGTATGTGTCGTATAAAATGTACGAGTTTACCGAGTAATTATCAGCTCTTTCCATATTGATCAGGTTTTCTCGACGGATAAAACCTTTTTCTTAAAGTGACTCCGGAAGAACCTTGTGCTTCGGACACAAATAATATAACAAACCTTCCAGTCGAAGTCGAGATAAATCAGCCTTCTTTTCCTGTAATAAGATGCGATTGAACAAGTTTTAATTAAATTAACAAGCCTACGACACATGAATGACAAGCTGTTCATTTTCTTTCACTTCCACTGCACCATCTGTCTCTCAAACAGGTCAGTTGGTACCTTTAATAATCTTTGTTTTTGCATCTTTGTTTCATGATTGCTAACCGCAATACTCTTAAGTCAAATAATAGGTTTTTATTGGAGATGCTCATACTTTAGAAAAATCTGTTATATGTAAAATTACAAATATCCATACCAACTTTTTTTAAAGGTGCATGGAGTTTATTTTTTTCCTCGTGATGTGATAAATATTATCTCTCGCCGATAGAATAAAACTTTCATGTCTCCTCAGGCATTTTGCGGAGCGTTAAAGAATAAACAGACAAACTGCATGAGAGATAGCTGAGTTGTCTCTGTTCCAACTTAACTTAAGCAGTAATTGCTTTTCACTGAAATTCAAGAACAAGTCTTTGTTATTAAAATGAATAACATAGTGTAGTAGCCAAATTTGTTTGCCTTCCCGACTTAAATTAAATTTTCACTTACCAAATTTTAAGTCATCTATTAAAAGTCTGATCTGGATTATCTTAAACTTTAAAATGCTGTAAAAAGGATATTTAATTTTTATTTAACTTAAAAAAACCAAAGTTCTTCGAAAGTGAAGACCATCACCTGAAATGCACGGGAAGGTTCTTAGACGACAGTACAATAAAAATTTAATTAGAATGTTATTGCAACAAATCTTGACTTCTCGGGCAAAAGGGAATCTGTAATTGAAAAAACTTCACGATTTGAATCCAAAAGGTTAGCTACAACTAGAATACCTACCAAAAGGGTAGCTACTAAAATGGTACTTACCACACGGATAGCTACCACAAGGGCCGGGTACCCAGCAGTCTCCTTTTCCTTTGTTTTTCTCTTTTTCTGCCTCATTTAAGAACTCTAGCCCATTGGAAAAGGTCGAAACATTGTCTTCGTTTTCGGACTAGCAGGCCGAGTTTCTGTTTGTATCCATTATTGTCGCGAAATGTATTATTTTTCCCCGCACTAGCAATGGCCGCTCGCGCGAAAAAAAAATTTCTGGCAAAGTCGGATTTGCTGACGCTATCAGCGTGCACTATCGGGATTTTGAGCACGCTTACGTATAATGAATTTGATTGCGCGACTCTGCTAGCTATGTTCTAATAACTCTTAGAGCCTGATATAAAATTCTTTTAATTTAGAAAGTTCACTGAGCTTGTCTACTCTTTAACTCAGCACAAAAATAGCACCGCTCAACCTCGTTCCCAGAGTTTCTCATATTCTCTACCCATAGAGCGAGAGAAGAGAGACCCAGCTCTAAGCTGGTCACATGTCTTCTAGATATTAGCAGATAACAAATTAGCGGTTTGAGCGGAGGGGCAGATAAGTGGGAATTTCAGTCTCCACTAGCGAGCGTAGCTTGTCGGCAATTAAAACAGTCTACGCGTGAAGCGCTTCGAACCGAATAATGTTAACTGGGAATATGTGTTCAGCACACGCCCGAAAAGATCATTTAATCTTCCACTACCGTAAATATCAGTTGTTGCAGGCTTTCTAAATCAGTTGGAGACGTATCTTGCTCAAAAAACATTTATTAAAACGAAATCGCGCATTGCTCGCCGCTGTTGAGGACATCTATGGCCGGCCGTTCAGATAAGATAAATTTTTGCCATATCTATCATGTAGGCCTTCCGAAAGGCGCTGGAAATTTTTTATTACCTTCAAAACGGTGATCAGTGAAAGTCAGTGTTTTCGAAACAGTGAAGCAATGTACAGAAACATCACCATCTGTGCCACGCACCTTGGCTAAGAGTGCAAGGGAATCTGAGAGTAGAAGCCGTTGCGGTCTCAGTTTCGTTACAGTACCAACACAAATGCAGTCTTTGCCGAGAAAAGAGGTAAACAACTGTATGTTCGATAGTTTTTTGCCAGATTTGTATTTAGTTACGTCTAGAGATACCTCTTTGCCGCCTCTGAGTTGCGAGTATTTTTACGAAAGGTGACAAATTTCTTTCAGGATGAGCTACCTTTGATCATACTAACTATGCTTTGATTAACCCAGCCGCTGTCGGAGATACTTGGGAAGACGAATTCCAAAACCAGGAAAATTCGTACATAGGTTTTTTTTTTTTTTTTTGTGCTCGTTTAACCGGTCATTCTTTTTCTATTACCTTTTTCCTTCAGAAGAGGAAAAATATGCGCACGCGATAGCGTGTGCTTGCTCGCTTCCTTTCCTTTGTTTACATAATTTGACGTGCCAGTGTTCATTTCATCACAAATAAACCTACGTCTGCCGGTGCTCCATCTTATTTGATCTTTACTAAAGGCGTTCAAAGGCGAAACAACAATAACAACAGGACGAAATGGCAAGGAAGGTACAGGTTGTTGACTGCTTAACTTCTCGAAGAGTGAAGAAGGAAGATGAAGCATCAAAGAGTTCCCGTATCCCGTCTGTAAAACGGCTACAACATCTCTGCCCGAATATATCACCTCTAAACACTTGACTTGTTTAGGTTTTAAACTGAGGTTAAAATAACCACTCCGAGATATAGCGACTTGAAAGCTGCTATGAAACATAACGACCTGAACAACGATAGTGTCGATTTGAAGATGACAAAGGAAATGAGGCAAATAACGTG